GGTGTGGATGGTGTGAGATGGGGGTATGTGTGAGGTGGACAGAAGTTTTGGGTCAGGGCCAATGTGTCCAGGTTGGGAAGTGGCAAGCCCATACCAAGGCTCTTAGCCACTGGCTGTTATACGAACTCCCTCAGCCGAGGGGTGCCATGGGGATAAGTCTGGGTAAAGCTTGCTGCCCTGGATGGGACAAGAGAAGACGAGAATAGGACAGTCCAGACTAGTGCCACTGCCTGAGAATGTGGGAGGGAGAGGAGGAAAGTCAGGAGAGGGTCTCTCAGCTCTTGTCTGTGGAGTGGGGAAGCTGAGAGTTCAGGTGAGTGTATCTGACACAGAACCCTCCTTCCCTGCTCCTCACCCCCTCACTGTGTCCTGGGGACCCAGCCACACTGTTGGGGCACTTTCTGGAAGATGCCTTGATTCCTATTCCACCCTGTGACGGTGGGTGGGGTAGCATTGCAGCAGACAGCAGAGTGGGGTTAGGGTTCCAGTCCCACCTGGTCCTCACGTGACATGAGGTAGAGGGCTGGACTGAAGGCTCCCTGGCCAGTCCCCCTCCTCCAGTGAGGCAAGTGTTTAAGCAGAGGTGTGACTGGGCCCACCTTGTACTCCTTGCCCTCAGGGGTGGGTGGACCCGAGGACTTGCTGAGGGAATGAGCAAGCTCAACTTGGAGCAGCAGCCAGGTCGTTGTGCCTGCAGCCTCTAAAACACTGTCCTTGCCTCCTTGTGTCCCCTTCCCACTGGCCTTCTGGGTCAGGGGCATTGCTTTCTGACCAGGGGAAGGGCTGGGCAGCTTTCTGCTGATCTGGCCTTGATAGGCCTGGCCGCCCTTGTCTTGTGGCTCCCAGACCATCACCAGGACACACTGCTCAACCAGCCTGGACTCTGTCTGGCTTTGGCTGGGTTGCCTGGCCTTGACCTGGCCACTTGCTCAGAAGGGCACTTGGAAGAGTGCACTGGGTCATACCTCTGTCATCTCAGTAACCCTGAGGCATGGCTGCCATTAGACCAGAGTTCAGGGGAGGAAGCTGGGGCTCCTGGAGGGTCAGGGCAGAGTGGGGCTTAGGAGTCACCCGAGGTCACTGTTCTGTCCTTGGGACCAGCCTCTGGAGGTCTGTGTGTGAAGGAGTAGGGAGACTGCCCCCACCTGCTTCCCTGTCTGGGGGCCCACATGGGGTCATGTAAGCTGGAAGGCTGGGTAAATCACCCCTCAAGAAAGAGGATGGCTGCCCGGCCCCCCAGACACCCTTGTTCTGGCTTTAACATGCCAGACACATTCATGTTCTCACTGGTGGTGAGTTGAATCACCAGATCTAGTCAGTGCACACTGATGGGCAATGACAGAGTGAGCCAGCCTGTGCCTCTCAGTGACTGAGTCTGAAGTGGAGGCGCTGGCTGTGTCCTGCAGCCCTCTAGCCCCTTGCTGCAGGTGGTTTCATTGTGGTGGTAAATAAATCATAAAGGACTTGCCATTTTAGGTCTTAATGAGGGGTTGTACAGTTTGTGAACAAAGATGGTTCACTCTTCCACTTCAACCACTAGGTGGTCAGTTGGCTACAGAGCCCTGGTGGCCTAGTGGATGGGGCGTTGCACTGCCAGCTCCAGGGCAGGCAGCTCACACCCTCTAAGTTGCTCCTTGAGAGAAAGATGAGTGGTGTCTGTGCGATGTCCACTCTCTGAAGACCTGCTGGAGGGGCCGTTGGCGTAGGTTCTGACTCGACGGCAGTGAGTTTGTGCTGAGATTTTACTGCTGCTTTAAGTGCTCACACTGAGTATGGGCGCTGCTGTGTGGCCGTGGCTGCCCCATCTCTGAATGTCTTTTGTCCCCCAGACAGCAGCTCAGCCCTTCCCCTCCCTGTGTCCCTGTGACCTCAGGGTGCTGTCATCCTCTGTGGATCTGCCTAGTCTAGATATGTCCTACAAGCAGGAACGTGCAGTACTGGTTCTGTTATGCCCAGTTCCTTTCACTTAGCATTACATTTTCGAGTTCACCACATCATAGAGTGTATGAGAACGTAATTGTCTTCAAGGCTGAGCAGCGCTGCCTTGAACGTGCCTCACATTGTTGGCCATCATTGTGGAGTGGACATTGGAGGTGTCTCTGTCTTTGTGCTGCTGTGATCTTTCTGCAGTGGAGTCTGGTGAACACATCTCTGAGTCCTGCTGTCAGCCTTCGGGGCATGGACCTAGGAGTGGAGTTGTTGGCCATGCTGGTCTAGTCCGCTTTCTGAAGAGCCAGCCCACTTCCTCAGTCGCTGAGCCTTTTTCCACGAGGGTGTCCGTGTTCCCACCCTCACCTGCATGTATTCTCTGTTTCAGTGTCATCAGAGGCTGCCTGCTGGAGGGGTTGCTCTTGCCTTGTGTTTGTGACTTGTATTCCTGGTGACTGATGATGCTGTACATCATCATTGGTCATTTCTGTGCCTCCTCTAGACATGTCTGTGTAGGTGGTTGGACGTTTCTTATTGGATAGTTAGTTGTTGAATTGAAAGAGTGTTTTATATATTCTAGGTATTAGACTTTTATCAATCATATGGTTACAAAATTTTATCCCATTCTGTAGCTTGTCTTGTCAGCTCCTTGATAAAGTCCTTTGATGTACAATCTTTAAGTGTTTATCTGTCTTTTCTTTTGTTGTTTATGGTTTTGGTGTTGGATCTAAGAATTCACTGTCAGAAGCAAGATTCTGAAGCTGTATTGTGTTTTTCCCCAAGAATTTTATATCTTAGCTTTTCTGCTAAGATTGGTCCATTTTGAATGAATCTTTGTGGCTGGTGAGAGCGAGGGGTCCAGCTTGACCTCTGCATGTGGAGACATGGTATCCCACCACAATTCTTGAAATGACTGTCCTTCTCCATTGAATGAACTTGGCACCATTGTAAAAAATCAGTTGGCCATAGCTGTTCTGGACTCCCAGTTCTGTTTTGTCCCCCTGTAGGTCTATCTCTGTATCCATATTAGATGGTTTTGGTTACTGCACCTTTGTAGTTTTAAAATTGGGAAGGACGAGCCTCCTGCTTTGTTCTTTTCTGAGATTGCTCATAGGGCCCCTGCAGCTCCATGTGTGTGAGCATCAGTTTTTCCACCTTTGCATCAAGGCTGTGGGCATTTTGGTGGTGATTCCATTGTATTTATATACTGCTTGGGTAGTATTGACGTCATGACAATAGTGAGTCTTCCAATCTGTGTAAACTGTCCTGTCATTAAGTTAGATCTCTTCTCATTTCTCTCAACAATGTTTTTATAGTTCTCAGCCTGTAAGTCTTTGACGCCCATGCTTACTTAAGTCTGTTCCTCAGTGTTTATTTTTTCAGGTTCTACCGTGAATAGAGTAGTTTTCTTCATTTCCATTGCAGAGGTTGATGACTGATACGCATTAATACGACTGACTTCCCTGTGTCCGTCTTGTGCTCTGCACCTTGCTGGATTCATTTTTTGGCTTTCATAGCTTTCTGATAGATGGGTGCCTTGGGGTATTCTACTGTGAGATCATGTTGCTTGTGGGTAGAGATAGTTTTACTTCTTCCACTACATGCTTTTTAGAGGAAGTTTTGTTTTATTGGGACCTAATGTGGCTGATCTCATGCTCATTGTGCAGCAGAGACCAACTGGTCTGTAGATCCTAATGCTTCCTATCTGGCCACCCTAGTCCTGATGGCTTGTGGTTGCTGTGGCCATGACTACATATGATCCTGTCCAGCGGAAACCTGGTGGGACATCACAGGTGGCCTGGTCTGAAATGGCTATATTGAAAGCAGACCCGAGCGTCTCCAAGGCCTCAGTGGGCTGACAGGACAGAGCTACTGGACGTACAGGACTCCTACTTGGGAGTGAGGATCAGATGCGCCTTCTACACCAGGACGAGGGTCAGATGGAGGCTCCTTCCTGGGAGTGAGGGTCAGATGGTGGTTCCTACTCCAGGACAAGGGTCAGAGGGAGGCTCTTACCTGGGAGTGACAGTCAGATGGAGGCTCTTACCTGGGAATGAGGGTCAGATGAAGGCTTCTACTCCAGGACAAGGGTCAGACACAGGCTCCTTGGGAGTGAGGGTCAAGATGACAGACCTTCACTGCTGATCTTGGGAGACAGGACTTGAGAATGAAAACTGGGGTAAGTTGGTGACCCTCTTGCCTGCCTGATTTCTCATGTGTATGCCTCCTCCAGTGCCATTCAGGGAAACCCCCAGCTATGCGAAGCGGCGCCGGCTAGCCGGCCCCAGTGGCCTAGCATCCCCACGACCTCTACAGCGCTCAGCCAGCGACATCAACCTGAAAAGAGAGGGGCAGCCGGCATCCTCCCCTGGACCCTCACTTCGAAGCCTCCCTCACCAGCTGCTGCTCCAGCGGCTGCAGGAAGAGAAAGACCGGGACCGGGGTGCTGAGAAGGATGTTGGTGGACACATGGCCAGGGGCACCATCAGGTAGGCATTGGACCTGTCTCTGAGGGGCCTGGTGGGGTTGAGGTCTGGCCTCGGGGTGGGAGGGGCTAGTAGACAGATCCGGTGAGTCTGGGACACCTTATCTCACCTGTGATTGTGGGCTGGAGCTGTTACTTCTCTGATGAGAGTGTTGGACTGTGAGATTTGAGGGGTCACTGCAGGTAAGGCATGAGCAAGGCTGGGGTGAGGCTGGGTCACTGTCCCTGGGCCCAGGCCTATCCTGAGAGTGACAGTTGAGAGGGCAGGGATTTGAGGGCAGAACTACTGTTCCATGAGGGCCTCTGCTCACAGGATCCCCCACCAGCTCTGCTTCCCAAGTGGGGAGCCCTGAGTAATCTCCCTGAGCCCCACAGGATTGTGCTGCTGTGCTCTTCAATTACCCCAGAGTCCCTGTGCCCCAGATTCAGAGCAGAAAGCTTTAGGCAGGTGGCCCTAGGCTCCATGATCTACAGGGGCACCAGCTCTGGAGGGGCATGGGATCTGTGACCTTGGCCAAGTGTCCTGGATGCTTTGTCCCTTGATGCTACTTAGGAAGATGGGCTAATTGAGCCCTGGCTGTTCCTTCTGGGAGCATGCATGTGGTCCAGCTGTCTCAGGGTTCACCGGTGCCATCTGCACTGGTTCCTGCTTCTTGTGGGATTTCTCCACACTGTTTGGCTCCTCTCACCTCAGGTGGGAGCCTTCATTCTATAGCTCACCTGGGCTAGGAACTAGAAGGCTCAGGAGACTGTTACCTGAATGGGCAGCATAGCCCACAGGCTGTGTCCTTGGTGACCGCTGGCTTCCATGTAATTTCTGCTCTGCACTTATCTATCTTTGTACGTGACAGAGATATAGAGATGCCAGAGGTCAGCATGGCAGCTACTTGTTCTAAGTCACAGAACAGACACTGGTGGGACCCAGGCAGGCCTGTTTGACTCCCTGACTCTAGACCCTAGTGAAGTTCACAGAGGGCTTGGATATGCAGGAGCCTCTGCCATCTGCTTGGCCTTGTCCCATCCCTGCCCATGCTCACCCTGTACCACTGTCCACACCAGGAGGCACCTTGGCTGACTCCGAACCTCCAGACTTTTCCTGAAATTCTGCGCACAGGCGGTGGGATTTCCTGATGGAGACTGACCAGGCCCGGCAGCAAACCCTGTGCTGGGACCCGGCAGCCTCCAGCAGGACCTTCTGTGTCCGTTTGCTGAGGACATGCTGTCCCTTTGGCAGGCTCCCTCACCGGCTTGTTTTCACAGCGTGCACTGGCTAGCTGGTGTGTGATTTTCTGGTTGGGTCTCTGGAGGGAAGGCTCTGGTAGCTGGAAGTACCTTTCAGGAGGAGGCTAAATAGACCAGGAGGGGAGCTCGCTCCTGGTTACAGGAGGAAGGCGACAAGGTGGTGGCATTAGGCGGCCCGGGCTGGTGCCGCTCTCCTGCGCCCCCTGTCGGCGGAGCCTGCCAGGAGCGGCTGGGCCAGAAGGGCCCGGAGCGAGCGGGATTTCAAGTAGCGCAGGTCTTGCAAAGTCGGGCGTGAAGTCCCCAGCCCGGTGATGGAGCACAGGCCGTAACGTGGGCCTGGCCTAGGCACCAGGGAGCCAGTGCAGGTGACCAAGCAGGGAGAAGCTGCAGGGCCGAGGCCTTAGGCTGGGCGCTCGGCAGATGGAGGGGTCCGTGAAGGTGGCGAGCACCGGGGGCCACGTGGGGGGTGTCCTATGGGGCAGTTGTTCTGAAGAGGACACAGGTGTGCAGAGTGGACGCAGAGGCCAAGGCCTGAGCCCGCTGGGGGTGTCCCTCCACAGCACCGACCTGGCCGCTCGCTGACCACCTCCCTTATATACTGCGGTCACCCTATCACGTGCCTGGCCCTCGCAGGTCGCAGGGGCAGGGCGCGACGAGGCCCCGAGCAGAGGGGCGGGGCAATGGGAGGGACCGAGGGGCCCAGCGGACAGAGGGGCCGGAGGGGCCGGGCCTCGCCGCCGCCCGCAGAGGGAGGAGCCCCAGCGGCCGCGGGAGGCGGGGCGCTAGCCGAGCGGCATGGAGCGAGCCTGGC